ATATACAGAAAGTTTCAGTAAGTTGAAATATTACTTTGATCATTTTCTAAATTTTTATATAGTACCTGTAGATATATAAAATAAATATATTGATATAATAAATATAAATAAAATAAATATATAGATATATAAAATATACATATTACATCTAATTTCCTATAGCTAGTGCATATAAGACTGGAAAACTTCTCTTTAGCTGTTTACTTTTGAAAAAGCTCCAAAGCAAGTTGCATCTAGAATCAAGTTTTTGAAACCTTTTTCCTTCTGAAAACCTGAAAGGAGGAATCTGCCCCAGTGACTTGCTCCTTAGTTCTTAATAGTCCATTTTTGGAAAGAAACTCAAAGGTCATCAGTTCTAGGATAGCTTTAGGTGCTCATGAAAAAAATTGGTTGGCCCTGGGGAGAAGAATCTGGCATTGGTAATTAAAGGCCTGGGAGAAAATTTAAATCTTCAGAGTTGAGGAGAAAGATGAAGTGATTTTTTAATGCTCTAGATGTGTTGGCAAAAAATTGTCATTGTTATATAACATTAATTATAAGTATAATGCTAAGACTGAGTTTGTACGAATTTAAGTTTGAAAAGGTCTTTTCCTTATAGGTATTACTGTCTTACCACAGAGTCCATATAGGACTTAGGTAAATAGTTGAAAAATTAAGGGTAGAAAAGATCTTATAGAATTGACATTTGAGAATAGTTCTTGAGTTTGGAACAAATGAAAGGGAACTTGAAGCCAGGTGCAGTAGTTCTTGCATGTAATCCCAGTGACTTGGGAGTCTGAGGCAGGAGGATCACTTGAGGCCAGGAGTTTGAGACCAGCCTGGGCAACATAGTGAGACCCTATCTCTGAAAAAATGAAAAAAAATTTAGCTGGGCCTGCTGGTGTACCTATAGTTCCAGTTACTTGGGAGGCTGAGGTGGGACAATTGCTTGAGCCCAGGAGTTCAAGGCTGCTATGATCATGCCACTGCACTCCAGCCTAGGCAACAGAGCAAGACACTATCTCTAAAAACAAAATAAAACAAAGCAAAATTAATTTAGAAAGCTCCTGCACAACCAAGGAAATAATTAACAGAGCAAATAAACAACCTATAAAATGGGAGAAAATATTTGCAAGCTATACATACTATAAAGGACTAATAACCAGAATATACAGAGAACTCAAGCAAATTAGCAAGAAAAAACTCAAACAAACCCATTAAAAAGTGGGCAAAAGACATGAACAGAAGCTTCTCAAGAGAAGATAGACAAATGGCCAATTAACATATGAAAAAATGCTCAATGTTGCTAATCATCAGGGACATGCAAATCAAAACCATAATGAGGTATCACCTTACCCCAGTCAGAGTGGCTTTTATTAAAAAGTCCCAAAACAGTAGATGCTGGCGTGGATGTAGAGAGAAAGGAAGGCTTATACACTGTTGGTGGGACTGCAAATTAGAACAACTTCTATGGAAAACAGTATGGAGATTCCTCAAAGAACTAAAAGTCAACCTACTGTTTAATCCAGGAATACCACTACTAGGTATTTGCCCAAAGGAAAATAAATCATTTTATCAAGAAGACATCTGCACTTGAATGTTTATTGCAGCACAGTTAATTCACAATTGCGAAAATGTGGAATCAACCCAAATGCTCATTGATTCATGAGTAGATTAACAAAACGTGGCATATGTATGTGATGGAATACTACTCAGCCACAAAGAAAGATGATTTAATGCTTCTTGAAACAATTTGGATGGAACCGGAGACCATTATCCTAAGTGAAGTATCTAAGAAATGGAAAAAGAAACACCACATGTACTCACTATTAAATTGAAACTAACTGATGAGCACACATGTGCATAGAGGGAAGTAAAACTCAATGGAAATCAAGCAGGGGGTAGGTGGGAGGAGGGGATGGGTCAAAACATACCTAACAGATACATTGAACACTATCTGGGTGATGGTCACACTTTTAACAGTGACTCAAGCATTACAAAAATGATCCATGTAACCAACAGCATTTATACCTCCATAATACATTGAAATAAAAAGAAGGAAAAAGATGTAACTGTAAAAAACAAACAAAACATCCAAAAAAAAAAAAAAAAAAAACTGAATCTTTGCCATACTACTTCATGGCATTTTTCCTACAATTAGCATTAATTCTTATACTATCGAAGATAATGATTATTGACATTATTCTTTCATGAGAGCCTATTTTTTAGAATTTCCAAAACGGAGTAACTTGATAGATAATTGATTTTCGTGTTTATAAGTATCTTAGATGTGCAGGATTAGGTTTATTGTTTCTCCACCTCTACCCCCTTTACAAATGTCACAGGGTACACTTTCTGTTTCTTTGCTTCATGAAATAATGCATTCAAGAATGACAAGTTTTGCTTCAATGTTAAGTCTGAAAAATCACACTTTTTATTTTGAATAGTGTTTTTAACTTTTAAAACATGCAATTCACTTTTATCATCTCAGTTTCTGGGCTTTAAGAAATATTAAGGGCATATCAAAATAGGTACACCTTTTTTCTACTCCTGTCTCAGATTTAATTTCAAATATTTTCTCATCCTGATGTGTGTGTGTAAAAAAGAGAGAGAGGAAGAGAGAGAAACACAAGAGGAAGAAAATGTTCTTATTAAAATTAGGCCATAAAGCAATTCCACTTTTAGGAATTTATCCTAAGGGAACAATCAGAAATGGGCGCAATATTTTCCACAAGAATGATCACTGCAGCAATATGCATAATAGCACAAAACTGAGGACAATCTTAAAATCCAGTGTAGGATGGATGTTGTGGCTCGTGCTTCTAATCCTAGCACTTTGGGAGGTGGAAGTGGGAGGACTGCTTGAGGCCAGGAGTTTGAGACCAACCTGGGCAACATAGTGAGACCCTGTTTCTACAAAAAAAAAAAAAAAAAAAAAATTAGCATGGTGTGGTGGCTGCAGTGAGTTATGATCATGCCACCATGCACACCAGCCTGGGTAGCAGAGCAAGATCCTGTCTCAAAAAAAAAAAAAAAAAAAAATCCAACATAAAGTGCTAGTTTAATAAGTTATGGTATAGAAATTCATTAAACTACTTGGAAGCCATTAAAATCATGTTATAGGATAGTACTTAATGATGTGGAAACTGTTATAATTTATGAAAAACACAAATTGCAAAACAGTGTGGACAAGTCCTCTCAGTTCTTTAATGAAAGGTATATATGTGCATAGAAGAAGACTTGAAGGCTAATATATCAAAATTCTAACTGTGGTTATCTCTGCATGTTACAATTATGAGAAGTTTTTTCCTTGAAGGGACCATATATTGCTTTTATATTTAGGAAGATGTTTTCTTGATGTCTATACTGTATTACTGATCATTTTAGTATCTTCATTTTATGTTTTATAATAGATGTTAAATAACTCTGTTCCTTTTCCTATCATCTTAGTGTATACTATAGGTTTCCATAATTTTAGTGTAATTAACCTAATGTTTACCTAGAGTCTTATATGCACAGAGAAGATAAAGAATCATTGTGTTATGAAATGAGGATTTTACTTATGGTTGGTGACTTAGTTATTTTAGATTAGGATACTTCAGAGCCCTGTGCTTATTTTGGTCAGTCATGATTGCAGATAACTTTTTCCAATCTCACTTAGTCACCCTATCAAAGAATTTGGTCCCTATGACAGAAGTAAAAAGTTCATTTTTTTTTTTCTGAAAAGGGTAATACAATTTACATGTATTCTCTTATTATATGTATTAGTTCGCTTGGGCTCCCAAAACTAAATAGCACAGACTGGGTGGTTTAAACAACAAAAACTTATTTTCTCACTGTTCTGGGAGCTAGAAGTGGGAGATCAAGGTGTTGACAGGTTTGGTTTCTTCTGAGGCCTGTCCCCTTGGCTTGCAGATGTCCACCCTCTTGCTGCCTCTTCATGTGGTCATCCCCTCTGTGTGTGCAGGCCCCTGTTGTGTCTCTCTGTGTATCCTAACTCTTCTTCTTATTGAGACACCAGTCATTGGATTAGGTACTCCCATTAACTTAATTACCTCTTTTAAGGCCACATCTCCAAATACAGTCATATTCTGAAGTATACCAGGTTAGGGCTGCAACCCTAACCCAACCCTTAATGAATTAGGGGGACAATTCAGTTCATAACATTATATATCATTTTGGATAAGTTTTAATGACAACATTAATGTTGATGAAGTAAATTTTTGTGAATTATTCATGGTTATTGTAAACTATTAATATTATAACATTCTAAAGAACTACAACTCTAAGTTATATGTGAGAGAATGTGGAAGATTGTAGATGAATTAGCACCAATTTTTTTTTTTTATCACCACTGAGAAAGTAACTCAAACTCTATGACCTATTGACAGTTGGGTTCATTTATGTAAAGAGTAGTAACTTTCATTAATTATTAATAAAATATCAGTATCAAATCAAATATTTAAAGAGCTATTAAGTGAGGAAGGATGAGAATTAAAGGGGGTAAAATTAAGATTGGTGAGCAAAAGATACAAAAAAATGTGCTTACTGAAATTTAGAACTACTGGAGATGGAATATGCAGACCTGAAGATTGGTTAATTCTTTGTGACTGAAGTTACAAATTTGTTGGGCTGTTATAGAGGAAATTCGTCTATTGAATGTGGTTCTGGAAGGTGATTATTTTTCATTTGACCCTAAGATTTTCTAAGTGTAATGTGCTATTTTTTGTCTTATAAAGTTTAAGAACCTCAACTTTATATTACTAAAATAATTTAAAAATTACTTATTAATACTTTAATATTTAGATTAATTATCAAAAATGTCATTACATTAAATATTCTGAGGACTATATTGCTATTTCTTTTCCTTCTCCCTCTAGTGGACAGAAAATATTTTTAAAATATAACATGGAAGGGTTTATTACTATTGGATGTATCACTATATACAGTCTCAGTTTTTTTAAAAATTAAAAAATGTTAACATTTCAGAATCATTAAAGAAAATGCTTTATTCCTTATAGGCATAATAATGGATCCTTGAATGTTGAAGATGTTCTTACCAGCTTTGACAATACAGGAAATGTTTGTAAGTTATATTCTCACTCTATAGAAATATATTTAGTATTTTAAAAAGTGAATTTATAGTTGGCTTTTTTCCTCACTGATGTTTACTATACTTACTGTGTGTATGTATATTATAATACATATATAAAAAATAGAAACCTGTATTGTCTTTTGGTGCAAAATAAGCCCTTATATAAGACACACCTACTAAATGGGGTGCCGCAATTTTTACACTTTGCAGGATTGTGTGTGTGTTTGTGTATGTGTGACAGACTGTATATGACCTATATAGAATGTAGGTCAGAAGGAACACTGGACTCTCCAGTACTGTCCCTTGGTTTCTTGTTTCTATTTTGACCTCAGTTAATTCAACAGAGGGGCTGTTTTTTCCTTCTTTCCTGTTTTTCGTGCTTTCTTTGCCTCTCCCTGCTTCTCTGCCCTTTCACTACAGAATAAACCCAGAACATATTTTCCTTGATGCTAATATACTTTAATACCAGAGTGTTTTTGTTTAATGCAATATTACAATATGATAGAATATATTGACTTTTTATCTAAGCCTCTGAATAAATGGTGATAGATTTCTCCTCTGAGAAAATCACTTAAATAATTATAATTAATTTAATGTGGTAGAAGAAGTCAGCCAAGAATATCTTGACGTTGCTGAGTTAAATAACATACCATGACAGGAGCTGTGCACTTTTTTGTATTTTTTTGTATAGGATATTTCTATTAAGAAAGTGAATTGTCAATGAACATGACCATTTTAAATGTAAAAGTAGTACTCTAATACGTTTTTCTCAAAAGAAATTTGGAACTGTATTTTCTGAATTTAAATAACATATTTTGCTAACAATGCAGCTTTATCAAATGCATAATAGATTTGCATAGAATTATGTCCAGTAATAGGCAATACTTTCATTCTTATATCTATTTTATGACAAGCTTTTGATTTTATAGAAAAATAGTTATGTATTTTGTTACCAAGGAACTTATAAATGTCCTAAAATTACCCTAAAATGTTTAAAATAATGTAGGTTTCTTTTTTAGGAATAGTGACAGGTGTACCTTTTAGTTTTTATTAATACATGTTGACACCTACTGAATTCTTTACCACTTATGCATATCTCATATTTTTATTGTAGCTAGAAAATAACCCACCCTTGTCTAGGCAAGGACTGGACAAGGGATGCTAATGGTGGTTGAGGAGACATTTTTCCTTCAGTTCTGGGATAACGTTAAATATCAATGTCAGGCTTATGCATATGTAATTTCAGCATATGATCCTGGAATGTTAAATGTAGAATTTTTAACTCAGTAACGAAAAAGTCAAGAATTGTTCTCAGTGGACTCAGTATGAAATAGGGCCACTAGCTGGCAGCATTATGTAAAAATAAAAACAATTTCCTAAAAGTCTAGATTATTATTTTAGACATGAATAATTATTTTATCCTTCTCTAACATTTTTTCCTATAACTTGTTCTATACCTCACTGCTCCCCTTCCCTGCCCCCCCACCCCTCCGCCCCGAGTTCTTGTTGCATTAACAAATGGCAAGATTGTATATTAAGGGTATTTTTTCACTGCTGTCTATTGTTTGGTAGAAAGGTTTCAGACTTTGGAATGAGACTCACCTACATTTGGATCCTGGCTCTGAAATGCATTTGAGCAATTTATAACATTTCTATGAGCCTCAATTTTTTTTTCATCTCTTAAAACTGCATATAATATATAGAAAGTGTGCAACACACCACATGCCTCAGAGTTGACACTCAGTAAATGGAAGCTATTTATTAATTATTACTGATGATGAGTACCTCTAAAACTTCTTTCAGTTTTTTTTAAATAAATAATATAATATTATTAAGGATTATTCTGATGTCTTAAACTATTTTGATTGAACTAGCAAGGCAGGAAAATTAGATAAAATATGCCAAAATAGTAATTTATTAAAATGTCTTGTGATGAATATGGTCTGAAAAACCTGAATATATTGCCAAGTGATAAAGTGGAGACAAAATAAGACTTATTAAAATATGTTGCTTGGTGTATATTTTTTATTAACTTTTAACTATAAAAGAAAAATCTACATTGATGTTTTCCTTAATGATAAACTGGTAAAGTTCCATTCCAATAAAGTAAATGTTGATTATAACCTGTATATGATCTTGGGTGTAAAGTGTTCATGGATTGAAAAAGTCATTTTTCACTCGATGCCTCAAAAATTTGATTTATTTTGCTAATAGTGATAGACTTTGGGTCTAGAAAACCCAGCAGAGGGCGCCACAATCATAATCCTATCTCAGTCTAAAATAATTAAAATAAATAACTTGAAGAATAACCGTAGGCTTTTACTATGTAAACATATAAAGATGTGTTTAAACATTTCCATTTGATTTATTGCTAATATATTTGATATACTCAATAATTCATTAATACAAAAATGGATTTTTCCTGACTGATTTTTGGGTTCAATTTATTTTTTTTGTTTTGTTTTATATTAAATATCAGTTTTGTACTTTTAGCTTTAAATAAAGGAATTTGATCTTGATAATGAATGAAAGTTCTATATAAAAGTATCAGTTCCTGAATCACACCACCATGGTAGTTCACTGAAGGATATTTAGAATGAGGAAAAAAGTTTCTAATAGTATGAGAGAACCAATTGATAAATTATTAATTTATTTTAGCAATTTGTTTCCAAGTTAGTATTACTTCCTGGTAATAGAAAAAATAATTAAAATATTTTATAGTCACAAAAACCTGATATATGTAGATATAGTAAATATGATATATTCATGGTTTAGTAGAACCATTAATCTCAATTTTAAGTTAATTTTAAAAATCAAATAATGATTGTATTCATTGTAAATTTTCTAAGTTGAAAGGATTAGTCTTGCTTTCTGAATTCGTTTATGCTCTAACCAAAAAGACATGGAAAAATATATTTAATTTTGAAAAATAAATAAAACTTCTAGATAGTTTATTTCCTGATATATTAGAAAACATTTTTTGTATTTACTTTTTTCTTTAGAAGTGTTGGGTTTTTAAATGTATGACCTATAAAGCATTTTATATTTTTGTGATCCCCTTTTGCTGCTTGAATTTCTTTGAATGTGGTAGGAGGAAATTAAAATGAATCTCACACAGAATTAATCATTTCTGCATAATGATTTATTGTATAGTATATGACCCCAGCCTTTTGATAATTTGCTATTGTGGAAAACAAACTAATTTGAAAGTCAAGCTCCCTTTTTGTTTACCTTTAATGGTTATAGGAATGCATATTTCACTATTTGGTTTCTACTACTTGAGAATCTACTTCCTTATAAGATATCAAAGCTGCTTGGTCTAGAGGTTGTGCCTACTCTTGATTCATCATGCCTGGAAAGAGAGGCTGACAAGCTACCCGGGGAAGAGTATAGGATGATATCCTTCACCTCAAGTGAGGTACTGGCTGCTTCTGTATTTTGTTTGACATGTCACTCAGACACTTTGGGTAATCAGGGAGTGCTCTGTTTGTAAGCATTTCAGCAAATTTCTTGTTTCTGTTTTTTCTGTGGTCAGAGTCTCCTTTCTAGCTAGTCCCCTGACCTCTAGTCAAAGAAACCCTCTCATACTTTCTTCCAAAGCCATTTTCTCTTTCTCCAAAGGAGTCTCTTTCCTCCTCTACTCAAATGAATTTTTTAAAAAAATGTGATTCTCTTTAGGGCTTAGTTGATCCAAATTTGGCTATCCTAGTATCTAATAATACAACTATTTAGTATTTATAAAATCTCATTCATACTTGGTAGGTATAATATCTTCATTTTTGTATTTTTTATTATTGTATCCTTTATTTGATAATATGAACAGATGAGTTAATAGTTCTCATATAATTTATTATATGTAATATGTACAATATAATGTATAATAAGCCTATAAAGGATAGGAAGTAAATAGTTATTATATATTATTGCACTAACCTAGTATGAGGCATTCCTGACAAATGTTGCAGGTTAAATTTAGGGAATGTATTGGCAAAATCCCTTCTGCTGCCATTCTTTAAAAATTTTTTTTCTCCTGGCTGGGCTACATGACAGGGCCCTGTGGTAGAGGGTATCTCATTGTCTTCTGGGGAAATTTGTAAACCCTCTACTACATATACTCTTACCTGTGGCAATGGTGACTTTTTTTTTCTCCAGTGAATCTGAGGGCTGACCTGGACTTTTAATGGATACAGCTACAGTCTTTGTTTCCTAGTAGTCGTATAGGACATGTTCATGATGTATCCAAAACTGACCAAAGACTCTTATTAAAATAAAAAATACTTTTACTTTCTACCTGTATTTGGGAAACCAAAGGTAATAAATAGTTTCTTAGGAAATATAGTCCAAATTTTTAGTTTTTTTGTTTCATTGTTGTGTTATGTAATTAGGGTCTGTAATGTTGGTGAAATTATCAAAGCTTCAGGAATGTCAGCTTGGATTTAGAAATATTTTCCTCATTCAAGTAAAGGTATATACATATATGCATTTTAGATCTGTATGTACACATACATATATACAAGGGCTGCCTGGAAAGTTTCCAGCCAATTGTTAATATAATGAGAACAGTTACATGGCTGGATGCTTTCCAGACAGCTCTCTTGTATAGACACACACAATAAAGTAGTTGGATTAAAAAATGAGAAAATTTGGGCTTTTAGGGGCCATTGTTCTGTTTTAGAATTAGTGTGGTCATGGAAGGAACATGGGATATGAAGTTCAGGTTGTAGCCCTATCTGTTATTATAGGCAAGTCTTTGAACAAATCCTAACACCTCATGTAGAAATGAATATGAAATGATAACTACTTGTAGTGTGGTGAACATAATATTAGATAATGTGAAAGTATTATGTAAAATGTAAATAATATATTTGTATTTTTTTATTATAGGTATTAATATCACCCATCTTACTCTTGAACTTTTCCAATATCTTTGATATTGGAAAATAGCACAAGATAGGAAATATTTATTGTGAGTGCCATACTGTTTTAATTTT